GAAACGGTGTCTTTTCGTCATCTCCGCCTATGCCCCGACAGATTGCAGTCCGGATGCAATCAAGGATGAGTTTTACCACCAGTTAACAGTTCTTCTCCAGAATGCGCGTTCGACAGATATTGTAGTATTAGCCGGAGACTTGAATGCTCAGGTCGGGCGTCTAGGCACAGAAGAGAGTCGTCTAGGTGGCCGATGGGGACTTGTTGGTCGCAGGACAGATAACGGGGACCGTTTGCTGCAACTGTGCACAGACCACAACCTGTTTCTGGCTAGCACTAACTTCCGGCACAGTCATCGCCGGTGTGCCACCTGGCGTCCTCCCTCTGCATCCCAAGCCTGGACTCAGATTGATCACATCGCGATCAGATACCGCTGGCGTGGTTGTGTACAAGACTGCCGCTCCTTTTGGAGTACCTATATGGAGTCTGATCATGCCCTGGTCTGCGCCAATCTCACCTTACTTTTCAGTGGCCGAAGGATTGACCACCACCAACGGATTGATGTTAGTAAACTGGCTGCAACTTCTGTTGCAAGTAAGTATCGAGCGGAGCTAGCCTCTAGGCTAGCTACCATCACACCGAAAAGTATAGATGAGCATTGGTTGCATCTTCACGACGCCATGAAAATAGCGAGTAAAGCCGCTTGCGGCTTCGCGAAACGTCCCGCTTACAAGCACTGGGTTTCTTCTGGCTCCTTACAACTGATCGAAGCCCGTCGGTCTACTCCGAGTGACCGTGAGTATGACCACAAACGAAGGCTGTTACGTAATGAAATTGGGCAAAGCTTGCGTAAGGAACGAGAAGCCTGGTGGTCGGAGCGTGCTAATGAGATGGAAGCAGCAGCTGCATCTGGTAACTGCCGGAAGCTCTCCCAACTCATCCGAGCCACTGGCAGCAAGAAGTCTGGTGTGAGTGAAACAATCTACGAGGATGATGGGATGCCAATCACTAACATCTCTCAACGTCTTGCACGATGGGCGGAATTTTTCGAAGGACAGTTCAACTGGCCTGCTGTTTCTTTCCGGCAACATCAACCAGTTTGTCCTGCCCCCCATGGCCGGTGACGACTGTTCCACCAAACGAGGCGGAAGTCTGCAAGGAACTCCAACTCTTGAAGCGCTACAAATCACCTGGCCCAGATGACTTACCTCCGGCTCTTTTTAAAGATGGTGGCGACTTTCTGACTAAGGAATTGACTGTGTTGTTTGGAAAGGTTTGGGAGCAAGAAAGTGTTCCAACATCTTGGAATGAGTCAATAGTCGTCCCTATCTTTAAAAAGGGTTCACGTTGTTCCTGCAATAACTATCGGGGGATAAGTCTACTTCCGATTGCGTCCAAACTATTGGCTTCTATCATTCTTCGTATGTTGTTTAAGACCCGAGAACGATTGACTCGCGAGGAGCAGGCTGGTTTTCGTTCTGGTCAAGGATGCAGTGATCACATCTTCACCCTCCGCCAAATGTTAGAACACCGTCATACTTATCGCAGGCCAACAATCGTAGTGTTTCTTGATATCAGGGCGGCCTTCGATTCGTTGGACAGGACTGTTCTCTGGGATTGTCTATTGAAGAAGGGTGTGCCTGAGAAGTTCATTAACATCTTAAAGGCCCTGTATACGAACACCTCAGGCAGAGTGAGGGCATACAACCACCTTTCTCCCTTGTTTCAGTCGAGCAGTGGGGTTAGGCAGGGTTGCCCGATCTCATCATTCCTCTTCAACTTTGCCATCGACGACATCCTGGAAACAGCTCTGATGGATGTAAGTAATGGCGGTGTTGATATGTTGCCTGGAGAACGACTTCTCGACCTCGAGTATGCGGATGATATTGTCTTACTGTGCGATAATGCTCAAGCCATGAAATCCGCACTTAATCAGTTGGCAATCAGTGTCCGCAGGTACGGCATGTGCTTTGCACCCTCCAAGTGCAAAGTACTCCTACAAGACTGGCAGGATTCTCATCCTGTACTCACCCTGGATGGTGAGCAGATTGAAGTAGTTGAGAAGTTCGTGTATCTATGTATCTATATAAGTGCTGGTGGTCAGTCAGTCAGTCAGTCACAACGTAGAACTTCGTACGTACGTACATCAGTTCGAGTTGCCATACCACATTAGCACAGAGATGCAGCTGTCCATTTAAATCCCATAGTGGTAGAAGTAGTAGGAGTATAATCAGAAATCCAAAAGATTAGGGTTTGAAGAAATTATTGAACGAGTATAGTACAGTGAAATAAATTTGGAAAGAGAAAAAGACAAAGACATGAGGAATCCAGATTAAAATTTGATAGAACACAAAGAATGGATGCACCTTCGCCATTGCAAACGATTTTGAGCCATGTCATTCAAGGTCTTTAACTATCGGTTGCTATCATCTCGCGAATCCCAACCAGGTAGTCTACACCTACCAACATGGCCCAGTCCACTTGTCAGTGACTTCATGGATTTGTGTCATGTTTTGGTCTGGCCGCCCCTAGCTTTCTTCCAACCTACTCCTACACCATGAAACATTGCACGTCGGGGCAGTCGGTGGTCGGGCATACGTAACACATGTCCCAGCCATCTCAACTGATGAAGTTTCACTACTTCATCAAGTGCCGATGGTGGCGTGAGTGATGAGATTGATGCACGTATAAGGAAAGCCAGAGCGGCTTATGCCAATCTGGGCCATCTTTGGCGCCTTCGTGATGTTAGTCTGGCTGTAAAAGGTCGGATCTACAACGCGTCGGTGAGAGCAGTTTTGCTCTATGCTTGTGAAACCTGGCCTCTCCGAGTTGAGGATGTTAGACGTCTCTCTGTGTTCGATCATCGTTGTCTCCGAAGGATTGCTGACATTCAGTGGCAACATCATGTTAGTAATGCAGAGGTTCAGCATCGTGTTCGGGCGCCGAGACGATAATTCAATTGGTGTCACCATCTTGAAACGCCGACTTCGGTGGCTTGGACATGTTTTACGAATGTCGTCCCAGAGACTTCCACGTCGTGCATTATTTGCCGACCCAGGGACTGGTTGGAAAAAGCGGAGGAGGTCAGTGTATGACATGGTGTCGTGGCATGAAAGAAAGCTGCAAAGGGCTAGCTTCTGTTGGTCCTTCACGACTCCCTGGCTGGGGTCCGAGAGATGGTGCAACACAGTGGCTAGAGACGTTATCAGATATGGCTCAGAATAGAAGCCAGTGGCGATCCTGCTGCAACCTTCTTTTACTTTCTACATAAAGAGTGGTTCTAACTTTCTTAACTGAAAGTCTTCTGGTTGTACATTTCAGTCCGGCTTATCTTTTCATCCCTTCTCTTCCTACTTTCATTATTTTGTGTGGCGCATATGTATCTGGTGCCCTTTTGTACCAATATATATGTGTTTAAATAAAATATTTTAAAAAAATGATAAACAGTCGTGGTACATCAAAGTGAACCACTGAGCAATGTACTCCACTTTTGATAGAAATTTCAATAACTACTGTCACAAGTGGTCCAAGTTTCCATGTGGTCACTGAACAAGACGTTCAGATAACTGTAAACTACTATCAATGAAATAGGTGTTATTCACGCTTACAGTTATCTGTGATTGTCGCTTAGGTTTACTTAGCCAGTTAGGCACAAGCGAGAGAATCTGGCACATTAGATATAACCTGAGCAATAAGTTCGAAGGATAGAATGCACAGAATGATTTTTAAACTTTAGATCCAAGTAAAGATAAGGAGCGAATCTATCTACCTGATTCCAAGCGATTTTGAGCCATATCATCTAACGTGGCATTTATGCTTAATAACATTTTGTCTGTACGATGATCCTTTATGCTAAATGAACTTAGCGTTTTTTTTTGGTAAAACCCAAAAATCCCTTGCATATTCTGCTACTATGAACAAATTTTCGAAATGATGATCTTAATAACTGAGCTTTTACGTTTTAGTCAAATTATACATGCAAACCGTTTGAATTTAGAAACTACCACGAAACGTTTGAAGTAAAAGGAATAACATCGACAAACTTTTGCGATTTACACTGAATACTTGCGGACTGGTTGTTCAGTGATTGATGAAATGAATATTCAAACCCAGCAGTCAAGTGTATCCCAACTTCATCATAATCAACGTTTCTCAATTGTCGTATAGATGAGATTTAAAAACACCTAATATTGTCTCTGAAAATAGTACCTGCTAATATTAGCATACTCACACTGAACTAGCTTTGCTGTAATTAGGTTCCAGGGTATTTTGCGGTGGAATTCTTATAAATCATATTTATTTAACAAATGGTAAAAAATGCAAACGACTTATATGTGATCTAATTTTTGGGTTGAGAAACGGCGTTATGAAAAGATAGTGAAAACGCTTTTACTATATTGCTACCAGACGCTTTTAATGGAATTAGATAATGGAAAAAGGTATAGTTTTCAAAATGAGATATTTAGAGACTGGGTGTTTCTTATGTTACCATGTTCTTTAATGGTTTTATATCATGTTCTAAGAATCAAAACACCATCAGTATCAAAAATGGTCATAGTAAGACACCAGCAAACTTGATGGAAGATGAAATTTACAGCAGTAGCTTACTTGTCTTTCATCACGACGATCAGCCTTATGACCAACTATTATGAACACAGGAGCAGAGCATTTAATTGAAGCACGAGCTTCTTCATACCATTCAGCAACATGGTCAAATGTCTCCCTGTCAGTAAGATCAAACACAACAACAACACCAACACAATTGCGATAATAAGATGAAGTTATTGTTCTGAAAGTATAAATTAATATTACCGTTACAACATACCTAAACTTTTCTTGACCTGCAGTATCCCATAGTTGCAACTTAACGAAGACCTCCTCTTGAATTCGGACAGTTCGTGAGAAAAAATCAACTCCAATAGTTGGATCTGAAACAGGAGTGAAATTTCCTTCTACGAAACTTTTCATTAACGAGGATTTCCCAACCATACTATCACCAATTATGATAACACGAAATTGATAGTCGAAATAAGGTAGCATCCTTTGCTGACCGACCAAACATTAAGAACCAGATCTCATGTTATTTTTGAGAAGTTCAACCCTAGTAAGATGTGCAAGAATAGCTTTGTGATGTAAGTAGGCAGATTGTTAGGAATCTCTAGAGAATATTACGTATAAAGCTTACGAAGTCGAAAATGATATATTTTGGGATATTTTGGCTTTGAATGATTCTAAAAGATTATATTCATTTACGTTTCACACAAACTACAATTTCGGAAAGGGTCAAGACGAAGTCCAATGTAACGCATTAATTCATGAATTGCGGATTTCCCAATGCTCAATACATTTTGACCTTCGAGAAGAAGTAATATCGCCATTGCTTTATTTTGACTTCTGAAATCTTCATAAACATTAGGGCAAACCATAGCGGTAAAAAATCAATAAACGCGGACTACTATACTCATAAGTCAAAGTCATGTACTGATGAACGAATACAGAACTTTTCTGTTGTAGAGGTAAATAAACCTTCAAAATTAATAGTTTTTCATTTCTCCGATATTCATGCTGATCTCCTTAGTTCTACTGGACACAACCTAGCTTAAGCTCTCTGTCTCGCATCCTCACCAGATCGCGAGTGGGTACGTCGTGCTATTCATCCCTCACAACTGCTAGCCAGTCAAAACCAAACGCTTCTCGATGTATCGACAGCTTTCCAAATACATATTCGGACCACTTCATTTCTGGCTTCTGATTTGACTGGGTTGGTTTTGTTCGATTATGAATATGTTAAGTGTATAGCCGTTGTCAAAATCTTAGTTGTTTAATTGTTCAGCGTTCTTTCGCATTTGTCTCGTGCGTTTTGTTACGGTTGTTAGCGTTTTAGGTGACCTTAGTATGTCTTTTCACACGACGTTTGTTTCAACAAAGTAGTTATATACAAGATGGAATAAATTCCATCTGGTTTTGCATGATGAAATGTTTGTATTTGGAATGTACTGTGAATTTTTGTTTATGTATGATATTAAGGAGTTAATTCACCTTGAAAACAGTTAAATCAGTTAACCAATGAATCAAACGCAACGTAAAATGTAAACCTATGTACATTGAAATAAAATCGTGATGATAAGTCCGAGATTTGTAGATGTAGTATAAGTTTCAGTGACAACAAAACGCTGGGAATCAGAATTGCGGTTCAAGAAGATATAATTTGCCGTGACATCATAGATTAGTGCTATTTCTGGGTTTGGTCTCCCTTAGCATTCAACCAGCTAGCTCTTCCGTCAGAAATAATAGCTCGTCGAAGTAGGTGGCGATTCTGCATATGTAACACATGTCCCAACCACGTAAGTTGGTGAACATCGCTGACTCTACAAATGCTTCACTGTCTTAGGTTAGTACCCTATTGCAAACTCAGGCACCATTTTCTTGTTGGACCCGAAATATATGAGCGACGATTCGAAGACACCCATCAAAGAATAATGATGCAGCTTTGATACGTTGGTTCTACAAGCTTATTCTATTTCAGAATCACCTAAAGCGACAATAGACATTTCCCATTGGCTAATCCTAAATCAACACCAACTAGTTGTTTATAATGGTTTCCGGATATCGTCATAAAGCATTGTCATGACTTGAAAATCACGTAATATGATTGATAACATTGATGAGACTATTAATAATATCGGTCAACAAATCGACTTGTAATCGTCATCAAATAGGGTTGTTTTCTCGTTACCTTCACCCATTACAGATTATTCCACTATATTTCTCTATCAATCACTCATTCAGTAAATATCTTAAATCCTTGTCAGCCTAATTGGTGGTTTAGAAATACAACCATGCATGCAAATCATCAGTATCTGCAGGCGAGTAAAACTCCTGCAAACTGAAAACACTATCAAATTTACTCACTCACTGTTTACTGTCTCGTAAGGATTTATTTAGCCTGAAGCATCGTGCAACTCCACATAATCTATGTCTGTGGCACATACGTTTTATCAATTCCAACAATTCTTGATCAATATATTTCAGATCATAAGATCCATTTGAAGATTCTACGTGTGAAAATCCCTCCGTTCATACATTTGCAACCTGTTCTTATTGATTTTGTAGCTGTAAATAATTCCACAAAATCAATAGCTCATTAAGTGTTCGTCATTGGATGCTGACCACGTTGTTTAAGTGGACTTGTTTGGATGAAGGCTTTCGGTCATGCATCCGTACCAGATCACGTTTCAACTCGGCGTGGGACACAGCTCCTACGTTTCATTAGCCAGTTCATAGAAAAGGTACTCGATATATTGGTAACGAATCAAATATATCTTTCCTGCCTCTTCTCGTCTGACTTCTGATTTCTATCTGACTGGGAACGATCGAACATAGAAGGTGCTACTGATAACTAGTTGTAAAATTAGAATATCCGTCGTATACTTCAATAGATAGATACTTAACATAAATATGTGCTACCTTCACATACAAATATGTTCACACTGGCACTATATTAAAAGTGTAAACATGAAAATGGTTGCTGCTTTATCTTGTGAGAATGTTTGACAATTCTTCCACATCTACGCTTTTGTAAAGATAAATTATTGTTTTATTTTAGATGTTGTGCTATAGCTCTTTATGCATTTATTCACACATATATTAGTTCGTTTGGTTCCCATGAAATACGTTTATTCTATTTAGCCTATAATTTGGTTTTCCGTGCCTTTCTTTATTACTATATAGTTCACTAATAGCTGTCAGTCGATTCATGATCTCAACTATTAAAATTACTATAATATTCACAAAAACCCCTTCTGATATTAATCAACATATGCTCACTAGTGACTGGCTTCAAGATCTATTACCTGAAGTTCTAGTGAGAAGCAGTGACCAGTGGAGTTCAACTGAGTCTGCTGTTTCATCAGTTTCATTAGTTGTACATTTTGTTGGCCTTTTTGATGCCAATTGAGATAGTAATATTTTATTTTAGTTTTCTAATTTTTCTCTTGCCTTCATTGAGTTTTTATGTTTCTTCCGAAACTGCATTTACGTTGTTTTTGTTGATACTTGGTCTTAACAGCAGCCATATTGATTGTTCCCACTTTCATTGTGTTGCTTCAACTGACCGCGATTGGGTATTTTGATTGTGAACTGAAGCAATTTTCCAGGATTGGAAACATTTTTTTGTTATAAGGCGACAAACTACCATCTTTTGAACGGATTTTTATTTGATCTATCCAGAAAGGATAGAACAATACTTGCTTTTTGGTGCGCTCGATCAATAATTGAGGGAACAATTATTGATTGAGTAAAAGCGATAATATCTGTTTAGAACCGTTATTGTCACAACTGCCTTGTTGTTGATTTCAGCTAAGCAATAGCGCGTGTCTTAACCACCCACATAGATTATTTTTTTCCAGCCAAACCTTCGTTTGGATCTTACACAGATAAGTCGTTTTTAACCTTATTCTAAACTCGATACTTGCAACTAACTAATATGCACTATCAGCTGGTAAATATGAATATAAATAATTGGTTTATTGTTCGCCTAAACATTTAGTCTAGAGCATGTTTCTCATGAATCCACTCATATTTAACTAATCACAGTTAGCCATCTTCCAGGAATTCACATAAATGTCATCACTTTCATGTATTAGATGAATTTTTGATAATCATTCACACGTATTAGTAGTTTTATTGAATCCTATCACGGTCAAACAATAATGAGTTCGTGAGAAATCTCACAACTAAATAAACCGTATTAAACTTAACAAAGTAACTGGAACACTAGTTGGAATTCCTTCTCCCCACTGTACTACTTTTGTTTCTTCAGTTAGCCTATCAATGCAGATGCATATTCAACAATAACACGGAGAGAAGGTCACCAATGGAGAAGGCGAGAAAAGTCGATTGAATTCAATCGGATGGCATGACTCAACCTCACAGACGTGGTCAATCCGTATAACCTGTCCTTATTCACTTTAAATATATTAATCCCTCTTTAGCCTAGATGTGTTCCTCAGAAGTACTAAGCATCATATCGCTAATGGTTACGATACTATAAGTCAGTGTAGACAATTATATGATTTCCACATAACATCTTATGGATTAGGTAGTTACATCATGACAAATCTAAAATTTAAGGACTAGGTCTATTATTAGGGCAGTAAAAATAACGAACTTTGACCAAAATTCTAAAATCTTTCCTATGTGCTGGCAGGCGGATGTATTGACCAGGTCACAACTGATGCGATTGGCCAAAGCCAATCAAACTTTCTGAATCCTTAGCGAGATTTCGCCCATCGATCATCAATGTAGATGATCCGTCTCGGATGATTGGAACCCTGCACTAGTAAGATGAGGACGGCGTTGCAAACCAGCTAACATCAATGTCATACCTCACGATCAGTACGTAACACAGATTATTCCTTCTTCGTACGGTGTTATAGCTGTTTTGATGACCGCACAACATGAATGACGTCATTACAGGAATGTTTTGGGAACAGAGCGCGACAGCCACATGGGCAAATCCATGGCATGTAACTGTTTGATGCGCTCTGGTGACGATCGATAAACTTCTTGATATTCAGTGACTCTGTAGTAGCCTAGTTACGTTACAGAATCATCTCGATGACCGTTATTGCGTAAATTCCAACGTTTTTCGAGTTGAGAAGAGAATAAGAAGCGGGGGCTACAGTTTATTAGCCCATGGAACAGATAACATAGTTACAAGCATATCGAGAGGATTCCAGGAAAAAGGGTTAACGTGAGAATACAGAGGTGAATTTATGGTCAGATGGATCTAAAGAGCAGGTAGGCAAAGCACAGGATATTAATAGGATTCGAGCACATATTACATGGGTAAGAGAATGATTCACCCAGCAATATTTAGGCGATGAGCATTTAAGCTAGAGAGATATGTGTGTGGGTTGTCACATGTTATCAAGCATACACGTTCATACAGACACGACGTTGATCATAATAATACCAAGAAATAGACAACTTGTTACAGTCAGAATAACAGTGTCTGTCGAACAAGTTAATGAAAGGGCTTGAAAAAAGTAATTAATCAAAGGAGTGTTATTATAACGTGACTGACGGATGGTTTATCAGGAACCGTGACATTTCACTGACACTATACTTCAGATATCAGAACAACAGGACTAAAGAGATTCACAAGATTAGCAAAGCGGTCGTCACACCTGTAGATCACTAACGTAGATGATCGATATCGAATAATTGGGGGGCTACTCCAGTTAGACAGGAATGGTGTGACTAACGACTAACGTCGAAATCACACATATCAGTAAGCATCTAACATGGATTACCCCTTCGATGTGTCAAGGTACTATGGCTGCTCTAACACCAAAGACGTTACTACGGAAATGTAATAGTAGTTATGAGTACGAGCGAACGTTAGACCACCACAGCATGGGCC